GGTCTGGGCGACCGTGTGTGGCACTGTGTTACCCACACAGGACAGATGAAGGGGACGTCTTCCTCTTCAGTTATGGTCTGGGCGACCGTGAGGGGAACTCTGTTACCCACTCTGAACACGCTGTTCTCAGTGTTCATGACAGCTGCAGCTGTCTGCGGAACTAAGTTACCCGCCTGTGGACCTAAGTTACCCACTTGGCCGGCGCCTCTTCTGGGCGCGGCCACCATCAAAACATCCTCGGAGTCGTCATATACGTCGACGACTCCCAAGCATCTGCCGGATGCTTTGGTACCCTGGCAGCCCTCGCGGGCGCCCCGGGTCCTGACAGAGGTGGGAACATGACTCACCAATGCTCTGTCGGACTGCGCAGGGCGGCTGGCACCGATTGCCTTGCCTCGCCAGTCGATCCAGGGCTCGTGCTTCTCGAGCCAGGGCATGCCCAGGATCATATCATATGGATCCATATCGAGAACAGTGAACTGTTCGAGGCTGTCAAAGTCTTCAAACTTGACAGCCAGATCCACTTGGACGTTGGGGACAGTGACGACCTTCCCGTCGGCCAGTCGCACTGACACCGTCCCGTTGCCCTTGCTTTCTCGCAAAGCTTCGGACAACTTGTTGCTGTTACGAGCAACCGTCTGGCGGCGTGCGAAATTCTTCGACGCCCCAGAGTCAATCAAGATTCTAAAGGGGGTGATCGTACCCCCGTACACATCCCGTGTACTACGAGCAACCCGCCGCTGCTCTTCGCCGATTCGAGAGTGCGAAGACTCTCAGGGGCTAAGTGTCCGTGGTACGCGCCACCCGCGCACCCATCACGAAGACTTAGTTCTTCTCCAGTAGGGCGACCCGCCCCTACTGGTTCCCTGCGTTCCCCTGTCCCCGGGATCCTGGCTTCTGCCAGCGACCCTTGAGGACGGGCTTGGGGAAGGACCGTCTGCGGAGTCTTTCCGCGGGACAGTCGCGCTTGAAATGGCCCATCTTCCCACAGCCGAAGCAGCGGATGTCACGCTGTTCGGCGGACCCGAGTTCCATGGGAACTGGTCCGTTGGGGCTTGTTCGACCGGGAGCCGACAAGGAGCTCCCAGGCCACGCTGAGGCCGGCGTACGCGCCTGGCGATGGCTGTACTCTTCTTGAAGAGCCACTTGAATCGCCTCTTCAAGGGTGCTTGCCTGCACCCGGAGCAGCTGAGTGCGTGCGGGGCCCACTCGAAGGCCGTCCATGAACACAGTCATCTTGATGTGTTCATTGAGTGGGTTTCCCACTAGGGACGCCGTGAGCTCCCGTATCTCTTGCACATACTCGTGCAGCTCGCGCCTTCCTTGTTTACACGCGAGGAAGCGCGAACGCTGGCGGTACTCGTAGTTCGCCGGGAGGAACGCGGCTCGGAGCTGTTCGCACAGCTGAGCCCAGGATGTGAAACATCCAGGGGATGTTGCTTCCCGAGTGTACACCCAACTCTTAGCACGACCGCTAAGGTTGGAGAGTGCAAAAGCAACACGCAGTTGCTCGGTCGAGATCAGAGCATCGTCCATCGCGAGCTCTACTTCTCGAACCCAGAAGTGAAGGTTCTCGCCTTCCTTCGCTTCATACGGCTTTACCTTCAGCCGTATTGGCTTCGGGTGAGGCGGATTTGCTTCCGCCGCCGGAGCCTGCAGGTTCTCCCGCACATGCGCGATGAGGCCCTGCTCGTACGCGTCGAATGCATTGACGCGCTCGAGCTGCTCAGCCGGTGATGATACCACCAGGCTCTGCAGGGCCTCCATCCCGAAGATGGCTGCCATCTTCCGAACCGACTCGAACTGAGAGTCGTTCATATGGGAGAAGTCGTTCCTATCCATGGCAACGAACTTCGGAGGTTCAGGTAGTCTACCCGCGATGGCGTGGATTGACTACGAGTGCTACCAAGTGTGACGGGGTCACACAGCACCTTGCGCTAGAGGAAGTTATCTTCCGAGAGTATACAAACTCTCAGTGAACGGCAGTTCACAGGTCCCCTCTTTAATTAAAGAGAGCGAAGTGACCTAAATAAGGTAGATTGTAAACTGAGTATATTTATAGGTAGGTTAAGTTTGAGGTTAATACAAACTATTAGTTACCTATAGAAATGCAATGTCATTTAACCAATGGTTGGTTTTGAATGACCTTGGTACCTTGTACCAAATATCCCGGAGTATGACGTGTCATACTCCTGAAGTGTGGAGTGTCACACTTCATGTAACCAGGGTACACTTAGGGCTACGTACCCCGTTACACTCGTGGTGACTCATTCGATTTTTATTATCTAGAGTATCTCTTGATCATGTTTGTAAAAACCGGTTTTTATTTTTTTGTTTATTGGTAAAATATCTGGCTTCGCCTCGGTTACGTTCCAAAGTGGTTGGTTCGTATTCTACGGTGGCTCTAATGCGTTTGGTCACTTAAGCAAGTTATGTATATTACGGGGTTGGTGATCAGAGGGTCATCAGTTTGAGGTTCTGAGGTTTTTCGTTCATTCTTGTTTTCTTTTCTCAGTCTCGAAATTGCCGCTTCCTGCCTAGTCCAAGAATGCCGAAGAAAGGTACAGCGAATGGCAACGCAGACGCGCGACACCAGCAGATCGCGAAGCCGTATAAAGGAAATGCGACCAAACTTTCAAGCAACATCAAATGTGATGTGTCCGTTATGGATCTCCTGACTCCTGCCACGATTGAGTTGGCCAACTACGTCGTCAAACGTTTGAAAGAAGAAGATCCTGGTGTTTTTGTGCAGATTATCGACCAAAATGCACTGCATCAAGCACTTGCTCTCAACCATTCACCTGTACCGCAAGGTGCCAATGCTGATGCATCAGCCGAAGCATTTCGTGCATGGCTCATAAACGGTGCTCGGAATGTCCGTCCCAACAGTCAAGTTCCCCAAAATTCGCGTTTTTCGTTGGCATTCCATCAACTAACTCAAGGCGAGGCCATTGATATCGTGTTTGGGCAGTGGCACAACCAGCGCTGGAATGTTCAACTTCAAGACAATCGACTCGGAGGAAATCCGATTGGACAGTTTGCGATTGTGTTTTGGATGGCTGGAACAGGACTTCGACGAGCCACTTTTACTACCCACCAAAACATATTTGGCTGATGTAGTATGATGAGTTTCATTTCATGCCTATGAAAACTCGAGCGATTCTAGGATCATTTTAAATCAATCAATGCATTTCCAGCCATTTTTCGGCTTGAATTTGAAAATCACGCATGTTAGATTAGAGCGACGACTCGTCCGCTCATTGTCCGCTCTTCCTTCGCATATAAGAGCGTCTAGAGTACCCCTAGACACCCTCAGAGACAGCGATGATGTACTACATTATACCTTTTGCCACCAATCCTTGCAGCAGAAGCATACATCTTCCGATTCCGCGAACTCGACTGTTATCTCACGTTCCAGCAAGAACTTGAAATATGTCACCGCATAGTCAATAGGCTGCATGTCGGATGGCGAACCGATTGGCTTCCCAAGTTCTGGTTCATCTTCGTCTGCGGTTGTGCTATCATCAATCTCATTGCGTCGCCTTCGCTTCTTCTGCTTGGACGCTGTAGCTGAAACGGCTTCAGCCCCCCTCGCTTCCTCTCTAGGAGAAGCATCATCATTATCTGTTGAGCAGTTCGGACACAACCAGTTGTTGGTCCGCCACACCTTGTGAGACTGCGCTCTGCCAATCAGTTTGTCGATACAGGGCAAACAATACACCCGCGTGCAGATTTCGTGTGTGCACGCCTTGATGGACTTGACTGGCAAGTTTTCCGCCGACTGGGCACACAGTCCGCAATAATTATCTGGGTCGCCCTTCTTCACGACTGGGGGATTCTGCACGCGCTGCTGCAGCACCCGCTGCAAGCATACCTTGCAGATATGAACAACTTCTCCCTTGCCGTCCTGTTCAAGCAACAACGTCAGAGGGTTATCGTTAGCATCACCGCAGGAATTCTCGAACTGAGTTCGATGACACGAACCTTCAGCACGAAAGGATGTTTCGGATATTCTGGCGCATCAGGCTTC